ATGTAAAGCAAGCCGATTAGATATCACATTGATCGTTACGTCTCCGATCAATGAACACCAAATGATGAGGTTCACACGGTTCTTCAGAACCATTATCCACAGAGCCGGACCGTGAGTTAAGGGGGCCCTGGGCTAATACTATTTAGGGGCCCACCTCAAAGTATAGAAAAAAATGAGACAGAAAAAAAAAATATTATGTTATGCCTTAGTATTATACTACTGTTAATAAATTGACAAATTACAAAGCAACCTTACCTACTGCAAAGTGCAGACATGGCAAATTCTTTAATTTACTCCTCACATTCTAGGGGTACTTCTAATCATTGAGTCTACTGCTTTGAAGAAAATAATATTAATTTTCTTTCTTTAGTGAATCACTAGTTCAGCTTTAGACATCTGTTTTGAAAATATTATATCTGCTATGGAAATTCAGCGATGTTTGCCTGTCTGAATTTCCGATCTGTTTACTTTAATAAAAGTATGGATTCTTTCGCAATATCGTCTATTTTTGGCTTTGACTTGACTAAGCTGGGGGCCCCTTGAATCCACGGGGCCCTGGGCTGAAGCCCAAAAAGCCATATGGTAGATCCGCCTCTGATCCATAGTCTAGTTACAAAGCAATCAAATTTTGTTCCCTTCCTTTGAATACGGGTGTTTCCTCAATTCACAGCTTAAATAATTATCTGGATAGTCTAATGCCAAAAACGTGTGAAAAGCAAACGATTAACTTTAATGAAAATTCGGTACCCGGAAATTAAACATTGAAAATTGGAAGGTAAATTTAACGATACGCTTAAGAATTTAAATTAAAATGTTTTTCACGTTAACTTTGATGATAATTTTGATTATCGTAATTAATTAACTTTACTGAATTAACAGCGATTGTTAGAGGATCTTTATTTTCGAGTCCATTAAGTTTAAAAATCTTCGATGTTGAATTGTTAGTAGATGGCGCTTAAAAAAGTTTTTACTTTTTCATCAGTCGCCTCAGGCATTTTATGAGTTAGCAAAAAACAATTGAAATCGCGAAACCGTGACTTTAAATAATTATAATTGAACATATCAATTTTTAGTAACTTTCGTGCCCGAAATAGGTATTTAGACCTAAAAAATACGTAATGTGATCAGATGCTATCGAATAATGGTTACGAGAGTGTAAGTCTAACGGCGTCTGTTTTGATACTCTACCAATCCCGAAAAGTACATAAATATATTATGGGTTACCTACAATGCGAAGAGATGGCGCTGCCTTGCAGCCTAAGGCTAGAGAAAATTCTAGTAGCATAATGGTCGGTGCATTCGCCCAGATCTTTCGCACTAACCGTAAATGGAATGCTCTGCCCGCTCACGTGTTCCCTCCCTCATACAACCTGGGATCCTTTAAAAGAGGCGTGAAGAAGCAACATGCAGGCCGGCAGGGTGAGGATGGTTGGTGTGGCAGGTAGAACTGCTGTATCAGCTATCTTCGCATCTGGACTTCACCTTCACTTAACATCAAGTGGGGTGGAGTCATTTGTGGGACCTATCTATAAAAAAATAAATAAAAAAAGATTGTGAAGGGTGCGAGTTCGAGTCCCGTCTGCTGCCTGATCCGCGTGGATTTTTTTCTAGTAAACTTTTCTTTAGATTTAAAAATCTAGCAGTTAAATGCTTAAAAAATAAAAACATAACAGTACACACATACTTCTTCTTAGTCGTGCACTCTTGACAGGTTCGTCGTCTGGTCGTCATGTCTCCGTCGATTCCTGTGCCACCGATGCACTCACGATGTGTCGCCTTGTAGCTCGGTGTTTTGCAGAACGAGAGCAATTATTCACGCTGAAGTGTGCCGCTGATTTGAGAAGGTCTGTCTACAGTAAAGGAAAGAAGGCTAGATCTTGTGCTCTCAACTTCATCTTGCCCCACCAGCCGTTCCATGGAGTTCTCATTTCGAGTAATATGCCTAGAGAATTTGAGAGTTGGTATGTATTTGCACAGTTGACGATAATCTCCCTTTGTTGTTTTTTAAGTGTGTATGCTGTTGGTCACAGATGACCTTTACAGCGTCACCGGGTTTGGGGACGGCGAGATCCTAAAGGGACCTCGAGCCGAGAATTGGCAAGTCCTTCTAGAGTATTCCAAGCAGATGGCATCTCCCCACGGGCGGAGTCTCCTCTCCGTCTGGAGCCTCTAGACCACTCGAACCTGAGGGGGTCGGCTCAACTAGAGGGCGTCTCTGAGAATCAGACCTCGGCTCTAGTTAGCCGATATCGTGGGGACTCCCTTTGATGTTGAATTCCCTCCGTATTGAAACGTTGGTATGGTGCGTGGTCCACGTAATTCTATGTAATCGTGTCACAATATTACCAGTTCATAAAAAAATATGAAAATCAAATCATCGTACAAACTATCGAAATATCACAACACTATATCCGCAATAACCTCGCTAGGCAGAAGACATTAAGAGTGCATAAAGCCCTAATTATCCGAAAACTGGTTCATTTCGTATATCGTTATTATCCTAACGCATTTTACGGGCAGGAAAACGGTAGGAGCTTAATTTCGACGTTGTATATTGCAGGGCAGGCGCAACACGTTACTTTTATTACAACAAAGATTTAATTGTGCTTCTCGATTCATGTTTAATTGCACATAAAGAAACACATCAATTAGGTAATTTTATTAATCTTGACTTCAGCCTGTCCTTTTTATTAATTATAAAGCATGATAAGGGCAGACTGTTGTCAAGCTTACAAATAGCAAATACGAATACCCAAGTGAAGTTCCGGCATTATGTTTAGAGGCATTTTCAAACAAATTTAAGAAAAAAATATTCGCCTTTTTTAGACGAGGCGCAACATGCCGGTCCAACAAACATTTGTTCAAAAGAATATTTTTCCGACCAAGTTTTTAAAAAGCTATGTCATAAGTGTTAACTATTTCCGGTATTTAAACCTTTAACTGTCTGCCAAGTGGTATTATTTAGCACGAATCCTTGTTAATGTTGAAAGGTTTTATTTTAAACAAATAAAATAAATTTTAAAGCTATTAACGGGATTGTTACCATGTACCTTGTTTTTATGAGTCTCCGATATTTCGGCACTGTTGCAAGCGCCATGATCACGGAGTAACTGAAGTAATTGCGGGTAAATATTATTGGCAATCTACCCTCTGACGCCGTCTTTTACTGCGCTCGATACCCCTACCACTGGTCACTTTCTCACTTTTCACTCGCACTTGTTCCCGACACACAATACTCACAGTATCAAATGGTGAAAGAAATCAGCTATCAGAAACAACAAGGTACATGGTAACAATCCCGTTAATAGATATAATGTTAGTGACCACGAAAGATTAAAACAATAAATAAAATAAGGTTATGAACATTAATAAATTTTATCCAGCCCGCCTGTATGATTATAACTATCTTTGAAGAATTTTACAGAACTACGAAAAAATATTTTGCACAATATCAGCACTGAAATAGAAATATAAATGATACTTTATTCTAATTGGCTTACAGAAACTTATTTTGAACCGTCCCATATTTTTTCCTACTATCAATTCAGTAACTCTTTTAATTGATGAGAAGTGCAAGAAACTCATCAACATTTAACAGTACCCTTAGCACGAGTTTGAGCAATCACGAAAACTATCATAGTTTTCGTGATTGTAAATTATGTTTCTATGTCCATTTTGGTGAAAAGTAACCAAATATACTCAAAATTTGAGAAGACGCAAATGATTTAATGTTAGAATTTAAACACTTTTTATTTGTATTGAATTGAAACGAAAACCATAAAATCAGTACCCTTAGTACGAGTGCGAGCTCACGTAAACTATCATAGTTTTCGTAATTGTAAAACTCGTACTAAGGGTACTGAAGTACAAAAATTTACATAAAATCATGTCGCTACCAATACCACGTCCACTCACATTTTGATTGCTGTGTCATACAGTATAGTATGTACAGAGCGAGAGTTAATTGTATTTTATAGAAACATTTATGTCCCCACTGCTGGGGCACAGATCTTCCCGATGGAGGGAGATTGGGCCTTGACCCACCACGCGGGCCCAGTGCGTATGGGATGGCTAACGAATGCAGATGCAGCCGGGACCAACGGCTTAATGTGCCTTCCTAAGCGCGATGGAACTCGATATAGAAGATTTTTGGTCACCCATCCAATAACCGACCACTGCGAAAGTTGCTTTACTTCAACGATCGCAGCCGAAAGCGCTAACAACCCGCGCCATGGAGCTCCTCGGGTCGAATATAGATATCCTGACTAGAAATCATTATTGTTCAGCTTTTAGGTAAGTCTCAAAGCTAGTATCGTTTCGTATATTTCGTGCAATTTACAAATATCTAGTATATATTTTTAGTTCATAAATTAGCAGAGTTTATTAAAGCGAGCGTTGCCTGATGTGTTTTGCATTATCTATATAGCTTTTAGACTTTAGAATATAGAACCAATTCAAGTTTAATATGAACCACAAGTCTGATAACAGTAGGTATTTCACTAGACATAATGTTAGTCCTACTGATATTATAAATGTGAAAGTTTGTTTGTTTGTTATATAATCAGACAAAAACTACTGAAGGGATTTGGATGAAAGGTACGCATGTAATTTATGAAAAAATTTAGGTTCCTGAAAAATTTACAAAATACTAAAGTTTACGCAGACGAGGTCGCAGACGGCCACAACTCATACATAGTTCAGTAAAAGTTATATTTAATTAATTATTTTTTGGATGACTTATCAAACATAAAGCTACCTAGTATTATAACATTTAATGACCTCCTCAAAATTTATGATTTTCTAATTTCAAGACACCAAAATTTTGACCAAAACCAAACCTGCGTCACTTAAGCCGATAACCCCTATTAAATCGACCGCGTGCCACGCTTCGACTTTTGAAAGAGTCAATTCGCTTCGCAAATCGAAAGTGATACACGACCGAACATCCCGGGAATCCCTACGATCAATCTTCGGCTTCTTTGCAGCTGCAGTGTGTGTACGTCGCACGGACCGGACCGCCGCACGGCATTCCGGCTGCCACCAGCGCTGACTACAGTCGACTACCAGGTACACCCCTTACCCTTAATAATACTGACATTCCAATTTCGAATATCGAAATTCGAATCTGCTAGAAGAAAAAGAAAACAAACGAAACGCAATCAAAGCAATTCGAATTTGGAATTATAATTATTAATATTTAAACTTTTTGCGGGGCGTTCGATCTTGGTATTCGAAATTTGAAATACTTCACAAACTTTATTCAGCCACGATTTAAATTTTAAATTGGCACGTCTTTTTTTCAACGGTTTCGTTCTTCGATAGGGAAGTTTTTTAAATGTGTGCGCTTGTTTCGAAGGAGTTACGAAGTTAGACCGAACAGTTCGCAAAGTTGGTGCGGTTGTTAACGTTACGTACGTTAGTGGTCGCATATAGATTTATCGGATAAGTTTCGTGCAGTTTGTACGCGGAAATGTAAATTTAATTTCTTAGTTGGGAAATATTGCTTATCATACTTTACGAGTTTCGCTTTAAAGCTGTAGTTTACAACATTAAAAACGAGTTTAATTTAGTTTTTCTTTTTACTAGTAATTCTTGAAAAAGCAGTTAGGTGGTTGAGAATACGACGATTAAGTTTAATCTGTGCCGTAACCTTTTTTTTTATTCCGCCCCTAAAGGGTTATTTCTAATGTTTCTACGTATTGCGTGTCCGTCTAAGTCTTTGAGTTAGCATAATACAAACATTTTGGGCCCCACAGTGCATTGTGAGTTACGTAACTTGGTTACGTGAGGACTTATTGTCGTTCGTGTTAAAATTTTTTTAGCGCTGTGTACGTGAAATCTTTTTTATGGGATGAAATTCTTTGCTAATAATGCTATTAAGCATTTTCTTTAGGAGTGTTGTCATTGAATTGAAAAAAATAACGTTTATATGGTAAATAAATACTGAAATCAGATTTAAGTGAAAAAAACAAGAAGACTATCTATACAACATTAGACACTAAATTATGATACCGTGCATAAAACGGTAAAAAAATACGTCTGTTCAAAAGTATCAGCCAAGGGCTAGTCGTTTCCGCGTACGAAGGGTTCCGTACGATTATCTATATAACATTAGACACTATATTATAATATGGAGCAAAAACCAATGTAGATATGCGAAAACAAAAAAAAACAAAATGACATTCACTGAAAATTAAAATGATAGCCAATTTACAGACCAATTTAAAACTGAATTATCTATAATTAAAAACACTCAATTCTTAGACAGTAAAAAAATTAAATAAGAAGATTTTTTTCTCAATTTCAAATTTTAAGGTAATTTTACATTAGAACCACATATTTTTGTTTTCAAATGTTTTTATTGTATCTTTTTGTGTTTTGTAACTGTTGATATCGTGCAAAAAACGGTAAAAAAATACGTCTGTTCAAAAAATATCAGCCAAGGGCTAGTCGGATCCGCGTACGAAGGGTTCCGTACGATTATCTATATAACATTAGACACTATATTTTAATATGGAGCAAAAACCAATGTAGATATGCGAAAACAAAAAAAAGACAAAATGATATTCACTGAAAATTAAAATGATATCCAATTTACAGTCCAATTTTAAACTGAATTATTTATAATTAAAAACACTCAATTCTTAGACAATAAAAAAAATTAAATAAGAAGATTTTTTTCTCACTTTCAAATTTTAAGGTAATTTTACATTAGAACCACATATTTTTTATTATATATTTTGTTTTCAAATGTTTTTATTGTATCTTTTTGTGTTTTTAACTATATATTCAATAAAACGTAAAATTCGCTTTTGGCGTTCAGACGCATCGATCCCAAAGGCGACGAATATCATTTTAACCTGTACAGGTATTAAAAATAACAAAACTTGCATTGTGTGAAAGCAAAACGACTTCTGTTAACGACAGGATTTCATGTTCCTTATACTTAAGTAAGGAACTTAATAAAGGCCTTGATTGTTATGCAAGTTACAAAGGGGTAGAAAAATCAGAAAAAATACATTTGGTTTTTTGTGTGGCGATAACGCAAATGTATTATAATATTTTTATTTCAAGTATTTAAAAGCTTGATTTATATATTACCTAAAGATAATTATTGCCTATTACATCCTTCATTCTAACCTAATAATAAATGTGAAAGTATGTGTTTGTTAGTCAATCAAGCAAAATTTAGATTTAGGTGAAATTTGGTACGCGTATGGTTTATGATCTGGATTGAGATATAGGATAGGATTAAAAAAAATGTTAGGTTCCTGTAGGATTCTCTCTAATTTTTCTTACATGAATAATTATTCTCTGCCGTTAAAGATATTAAATATTTGGTCACCCACCCATCCAATGACCGAACACAGCGAAAGTTGCTTAACATCAACGATCGCAGCCGAACGCGCTAACCACTTGCGCTATTTTTATTCTTTTCACCAATATCTGTGCCAATGTCTAGATACTCTTTATAAATCTATGTCTATTGTAATGCAGAAACACTACACTACTTAAGAATATAACTTGTCACACTAATATTATAAAGGCGAAAGGACATCGACGAAATCGGCCCTATCATGCCCAAAAGAATGTCCTTCACTATTATTTTTCTATATTTTTTTTAACTTATTAGCAATTAATCATAGTTAACGGACAATCTGTTTAAAAAAATAAAAAATAAAAGTTCTGTTACTAGATACTACAGTCTGTTCATCCAACTTGGCACTCCTTTTTATTGAAAATACAGCATTAAAAATCAACTGAAAACTGGATTCAATAGGTTTCAGTCTATAATAACGATTTATTTTTCATCCCACCACCTCGGAAAGTGTAATTTTGCGCTTCGAAATCTGGCTGGAAAATTCTATTTTATTCGCTTGAGCGGCAAAGTAGATTTGAATTTAGAACATCACATATAATGAGTACTCAATATAATTGTAAATTCAAAACGTCATTAAACCTATTTAATGTAACCTCTATGGTGCCAAATTTATGATTAGAACTTTTTAAATTGTGAAAAAATTTAAATTTGGAACCTTCTTGGTTTCTTTGTTTTATTTGCGTGCTTCGCGCCATTCTAGTTTTTCACGTTTTATTGCTTAAATATTTTGTCATTATAAATTGTTTTCTTTTTCATTTTGTCATTTCCTCGCTGAGGTGGGATGAAAAGTTACGTATTGCACTCGAGTGGAAAGATTTTTCACCTTGTGCTCGTTTGTTTCCTTCGCTTGCTCGGTCATCCAAATCGAGCACGCGGTTAAAAAGGAACTTTCCACTCTTGTATAATAAATAACTATTAATAGTTTATTGGCTTCGTTAATATTTTATTATTTAATGGGTGATTCTGTTAAAAAGTTGTGCCAAGATTGTTTACCTTAATAAATGCAATAAAGGCGACCATAGGTATTTATCAACATAAAAATAGAACTAGATACCTTAGTTAATAATACTTATTACTAGTATTTATATTATATTTATAAAAAGATTATTTCTGAAATTATGTAAAGATAGTTTATACTCCCATCCCATGTAATATCTGTTTATTTAACCAGGTACATACCTAATTACCGATAGTAAAATATAGAAACAGGTAAATGGAAACATTGAATATTTCATTTGAAAAGAAATCTATTATTACCTACTACAGGTAGGTATAGGTATCATAGGTGCCAACTGACAACACTCATAAATCAATATAAGCATTTTTTATTTTTATTATTAATTACATTTTATGTTCATTTAATGTATATTATTTAAGTGCTTACATAGAGGTAAACACTAAATCTATTAAGAATATATAAAGTGTACATCTTTTACGATTAAATATAATAATTATAACCTCAAAATCTAATACATTCTGTAGTAGTCCACGGTTCCTCAACTTGTCCGTATCTCAACAAATGCTTAATTAGAGTTTATGAATGATTCCGAGCACAACTAGCATTTTCTCATTGCTGGGCGTTCTAGGGCATTCAATGTATGGGGAACGAGCAATGTCCTTTGTTAGTGTGCGAGTGTCTTTGTTTGTTATTTCTTCACGTCTAAACGGCTGGAGCGATTTTTATAAAATTTGGTATGGAGTTAGCTAACACCCTGGATTAACACATAAGCTACGTTTTACTGCGGGAACATATCTTATTCCCATGGGAAAATCGATGATTGATTTTTTACCCTAATAAACCGCGGGTAACACCGCGGAGCACAGCTAGTCTTTATATATATAATTCTTCTGTGAGTGTGTATGTCACTGAACTTCTCTTAAACGACTGGACCTGGATTTTGATGAAATTTTTTGTGTGTGTTCAAGGGGATCTGAGAATGGTTTAGATTCACAAAGACGTGTAGACAGGACAACGTCTGTCGGGTCCGCTAGTAATTTATAAAGATGAAAAACTGCAACTTTCCGCAATGAATAGTTCCATATATTGTTTTAAACTTTCACATTATAGCTATTAACGGGATTGTTACCATGTACCTTGTTTTTTGTGAGTCTCCAATATTTAAAAAACAAGATACATGGTAACAATCCCGTTAATAGTTATAACTAGCAAACCAGTGAACCAAATGTTCACCAAAACCTGATTTAAAAAAATAATGTATTTAATTAATTGAGAACTTCGGAGATTTTGTGTGGTTTCGTTTGAAATTCGTGATTTCTCGAAAACCGGAAGTGCTACGTTACTCAAATCCGGTTTGTAGTCTTATCAGACTATTCTTAACTTATAACTTAAATATTCTCTTTATCTATCTCTTACGGTTTGGCCGCTGAAACAGCACCACAGACGGACGGACTTGTCTAATAGATAAGAGATAATAGTTCTATAGTTCTGAAATATTTTAAATTTCTCTGTCTGTTCAGTTTTCGTGTCGAAACTGTTTTTTCATAGTAGTTACATAAGATTACAGTAAAATACTAGTAATAATAGATATTTCCAACACTCACACCAATTAGCCTAGCCCCAAAGTAAGCACTGTAGGCTTGTGTTATGGGATACTAAGGTAACGGGTAGAATACATATACTGTAAATGTATAAGTATATTTCTATATAAATAAATATTAAACATCTATGACTGGAGTACAAATGCTCGTATTCATCACACAAACATCTGCCCCCACCGGGATTCGAACCCGGGACCTCTCCGAGTCGCTGACACCACAAAACCCAGCGTACAAAATATTGATAAGTAGTGTTATATTTCTGCATTAGAAGCTAGATAAATTTATACAGACTATCTAGACATTGGCGCAGAAGTAGCAAAATGCTAAGCAACTTTCGCAGTGATCGGTCATTGGATGGGTGACCAAAAATTTAATTACCCTTAGCTCCTCCGTGCTTCGGAAAGCACCTTAACCCGTTAGTCTCGGCTGCATCTGCAGTCGTTAGTTACCACCAATACACATTCGGCCCGCGCGGTGAGTTAATCTCCTTATCTCATCCATAGCTTAGGCGTGTGCTTCAGCAGTCGAGGCAATAATAGGCTGATTCTGACGATCTAGACATCTATATATATAAAACTCAAAGCTGACTGACTGACATAGTGATCTATCAACGCACAGCCCAAACCACTGGTAGGATCGGATTGAAATTTGGCATGCAGGTAGATGTTATGACGTAGGCATCCGCTGAGAATGGATTTTGATCAATTCTACCCCCAAGGGGATAAAATAGGGAATGAAAGTTTGTATGAAACTTTGTCAATTTTAAACCGATCGGGCTGAGACTTTGCATGCAGGTATAAGAAGAATCATAGATGAATATCATTGTGTATAATACAAGCCTGAGAACGAAAACTGTAGTCCACATTTCAGCTCTACACCAAAGCGAAGCGAGGGCGGGCCGTTAGTTCATTATAATCAGATGTGACATTATGTGATGGAAGTTGACCTCAACACAATGTTTTCAAGTTTGATGTCAACTTTCAATTTGACGACAGTGTATGAAATAAAACAGGGGTAAAAAGAAAGCCCTTGCTGAGTTTCTTGCTGGTTCTTCTCAGTACATTGTCTTCCACCGTAGTTTTGCGAACCGATGGCGTAGTTTTCGTCTTTTATATGTTTTTGTAAAAGCCTAACCTAAATAAATGATATTTGAATTGAACTAGAAGATTTTGCGAATAGTGGTTGCTTACGTTAACGCGGGTCGTGTGGCTAGTTTTCTACTTAAAACGAGTAACTTAACTAAGTAGTAATTGATTTGGAAAATAAAAATAGTTTTAACGGGTTAATGCACGAAACTTTATTTATTTATTGACGTTTCGTAGACTTTTCAGGTCAGCATCGTCAGAATAATGTTATTTTTTTGCATTGCAGTGCATTAACCCATTAAAACTAGTTTTATTTAATGAGTGACGTGCGTGAAAACCTGAGAAACAAATATATATACAACATTGCGGTGCGAGGAGATGTCGCTTGTTTTGCTTGTTAAAATGCAAATCTTCTATTCTACCGTTCAGTCCTCCGCCACAGAATACGTAATAGTACAAGTCGCGCTACTTTTCATAGTTTGATGATCAGCGAACTTTCATACGAATCAGTAAAGCTTAATTATATTGGTGACGTTATTGCATCGCATTATTATGCGATATAAAATTGTCTCGTCAATATTGCCGATCGTACAGTGTCTTTCTCGGCCCGGTTTATAATGCACAGTGTAATTTTATGATGCTGTGCCACGTTGTGAAATGGTCCGATAACGTGGTTTTTATTACGTGTCGTCTTGTCTCCATTTTGTTCTTTATTTATTCCATAGAGACAACATTGCTCAGGTTATGGTTTTGTCTTTTTTTCTCTTATTTTGGTGTATCCAAATTTTCGTAGGCAAAGAGCCGACCCCACACAGTTTCTTGTGTTATTTTTTTTGTGTTGGACTGCTATGGGCGAAGGTTGCGAAGTCCAGATTATTTTTGTTTTTGTTTTGTGTATTAAGTGATTGTCTTGTATTTCCGTGGATGTCCAAATTAGGTCCCTCCAGAATATCAATCCATTTTTGCCGTTGCAACATTATGCTGAGGTGGGGCCTAGTTGACGATGTACCTTTTGTTTTATGTTTATTGTGTATTTATTGTAATTGTTAATGTATGTCGTCAATTAATGTTATTCTTTGTTTCTTTCTTTCTATATAGTTTGTGTGATGCGTCGTAACGACCCTTCGTAAGCATAGTAGCATAGAGTAAATAAAGTGACAGCATGTGAGTGTAGTTTGGCTGCATAGCCTGTCATATGCTGTCTTATTGTAATAAGAAAGAGGCAGCACTGACTTTTGTCACGCTTAAAACTTAATTCACGTTTATGTGTGCGACCGTTAAACTTCATCATCATCATCATCAGCCCATTAATGTCCCCACTGCTGGGGCACAGGCCTTCCCTATGGATGGAATAGGGAGATTGGGCCATTACCCACCACGCAGGCCCAGTGCGGATTGGTGGGTGCTAACGACTGCAGGTGCAGCCGGGACCAACGGCTTAACGTGCCTTCCGTTAATCAATTCACGTTTATGTGTGCGACTGTTAAACTTACTTTAACCAAACTATAAGCAGAACAAACGCGAATTAATTAACTTAACTTTAAGACTGCAGGTATACCTAAGAACTGGGCTAAAATATGTACTTTGCAAAATTGTGTTTCTTAGTTTTAACTCTAAGAAAAACTGAAATCATAAATCTGAAAACTAAGCTTTCAGTTTTTATCAGGAAGCCGTTGAAAAACTTAGATAAACTTTAGTAATATAAAAAAATATCTTAATGCAGCCATCTCTTACTCTTAAGAAAATGAAAAGATATTTTAATAAAATATAAACTTCCCACTCCACTAAAAGCATAAATGTGTAGTCTGGATTCCGTCTGCGTTTTTATGTTCACGGTTTAAAAGCATTTCGGTTCGTATTTATTTTATAGAACGTTAGAATAGATACTTACATGGATATGTATTGTGTTACTTATATCCAGTACATAAAAAAACTATGAAAAGGGATAACCGGAAGATGCCGTATAACTATGGCATATAGGATTTTCCCGTCTGGTGAAGTGACCTCCACCTTGCTTAGAAGACTACAGTAAAATAACACTACCCTTTGGTAATATGAGGAGCTCGCTGGCGCAAGTGGTTAGCGTGTTCAGCTACGATCGTTGAAGTTAAGCAACAAGCGACCAAAAATTTACTATCTCGAGCCGTTCTTCGGAAGGCACGTTAAGCCGTTGGTCCCGGCACCAATCCGCACTAGGCCTGCGTGTCATGGCCCAATCTCCCTATTCCATCCATAGGGAAGGCCTGTGCCCCAGCAGTGACGACATTAATAGGCTGATGATGATGATGATGACCCTTTGGTGGTGTTGTCTTTCTGGCTGCGAGTAAGGTTCCAGGGCTCCACGGGGTAGAGGATTGGGGTAGGCTAGGCAACGGTGCGAGTCACATCTTTTGTATCCCAAGCACCTATTGTTATGGTGGCCGCTTACCACCACGGTAGATTGCCACCCTGTAACATCATCATCATCAGCCTATTAATGTCCCCACTGCTGGGGGACAGGCCTTCTTTATGGATGGAATAGGGAGATTGGGCCATGACCCACCACGCGGGCCCAATGCGGATTGGCGGGTGCTAACGACCGCAGATGCAGCCGGGACCAACGGCTTAATGTGCCTTTCGAAGCACGAAGGAACTCGAGTTAAAAGACTTTTGGTCACCCTTTCAATGACCGACCATTGCGAAAGTTGCTTAACCACCCGAGCCATAGAGCTACTTTAACATAAACATTGTAAATTAATAAAAAAACATTTAAATTTTAATTAAATCTAGTGTTATTTGTTTTGTTCCAGATACTCGCTGCACGACACAGTTGTCAAGTAAGTACAATTTATATTCATAGGTAGTAGCAAAAAATACTACACGAAGTACCTTTTTATTTGAATGATTTTTTAAGAAAACATTTATGAATTCATAAAAGCCAAAAAGTATTTTATTTCAATTGTGCTGACTGAAAAAAACTTTACAGCGAACTAGGTACATAGTTAAGCTAATTTTTATTTAAAACGTAATAAATATCGAACAATGGTATAATTACAAGAAAAAACTTTTTCTGAGCAAACATAAAATATTAATAATCTAAAAAAAATCTCGTTAAAGCCGATAACGCATCCGATATTATCGACCGACAATAACGCACCTATGGGGTGGAAACCCTAAATGTTTTGTGTTTTTGTGAGTATTGGAACTGTTTGTAATTATTATTAATTAGTAAGGACTATTAAAAAGTTGAGGATTACGTAACAGACAACTGTACATGAAATTAGATTAACTCTGCGCTATCAATGCACTGGCTGTTATGTTAATTAATAAAGGTACCTCACTCATATACATTGTTTGCTGTTATTGTATTCAAATTATATTTTGTTTGTATAGATGACATCAATATGTGCCTGTAAAGGCTTATGTTGAATAAATTATTTCTGATTCTAATTCTACCAAAGAATTTTAGTGACAATATTATTAAAAGCTGCATTATATAAGGTCCCAGCTCCTCAGTTCAGCGTTCATTCACGATATTTATTAGGGGTCTTTTATTATCTTCCTCCGAGAAACAGCTTAAATGGTGTTTCGGAGTTTGGAGCAAAATTGGTTTTGGGGAGCACTTTCTGAATTTAAGACTCATTATATTCTCCATCGACCCGCAGAGTCCTGCTACAAGGATAATTTTAGCGGAGATTTTGAATACTTCATACAAGATTGCGTGCTTTTGCCGGGCTGTTAGCCTGTATGAAGAAAGAATGCTTTATTAAAAGCTTCTTTCGCACAGCAATAACTTTTTAAAATTTATTAAAATAATAACAATAGCATTTTTTTCGGCATCATAGGCGAAATACTTTTAAGTAAATATCGTTAATTTGTTAACAGGATAAGGCTTTTGATATATTGACTTTACCTTTTGCTTTAAATAAGCTACTAATAATTTAATACAAATAAAATTTATAACTACAGAAACTTCGTTCAACTGTCGATAGCCGGCTTGATTGGGAAAGCCTAGAAAAGCAACCAGTCATCCTTAAATTTGAGAAAGTGGCCGCAATTAATCTTTTAAAGAACAATACGAAGAAACTTTTAAAGTACAACTTTGCAAACAAGATCATTAACATTTATTCAGACACAAAAGTAGAATCTAGGCGAAAAATTATTGCATGGCTTCTGAATTTAAATTATGATGAAGCCGAGAACATACTAATTTAGAATGTAACTACACTGGAACTGCGAAAATATACCTACTAAGTCACAAATATACACACAATCCAACATATACACTTGCCACAAACTTATTTTTCATATTGTTATTAATAATAATTTCATTTAAACTTAAGCAGTTTTGTTAAATGGATTATCATAAATTTTAATAATTTTGCAGGGATATGGGCTGGGGGCCTGGTGTTCTATTATACAGGCAGGTTACTGCCCAGTTTAGACACCAGTCTCTCCACAATATATTACTGTAAATACGAATAATATTTTATGTCTGTAACAAAATATTTGTATTGTGGTGAGAATAAAATAAACGTTATTATTATTAATAAGGCGCCAGGCCTCGCTTTAATCACGTCTGAGATGCTCAAAGCCTTGTGGGAAAACGGTTAAGATGCACTGCCTGACATCTGCAACTACATATGGGAAAATTGCATATGGCCTAAGGACTGGAGCACGACAATTATTAACCTCCTATTGCACAAACAGGCTTCAACCGGAAAATGTGACAACTAACATACCCTCGCCTTGATATCAATCTGATTTAGAAGCTTTAACAACATACTGTACTAAAAACCAACTATATCTTAATATAAACCATAATCCACTATGGTGATGTGTGCTACCTCGATCTGAATGCAGATCTACTCAATAAACTTGATCGACTTCAGAATAACTGCATTCGATTTGTTTTCAATCTTAGAAAATATGACCACGTGTCCGCATACCGATCTATTCTAAAATGGATGCCTATTAGGCAGCGCAGAAGTATGCGGGCTCTGACCACTCTCACTTCCCAATTTCCGTTTTTATGTACCTGTCATGCTAAAAAATCTTCGATCTTCTTTTAATCGCTTACTTATTGTTCCATCTCGTCGCTCTGATATGATTTATTCGTCCTTCTTCGTCAAAGCTATACTTCTGTGGAACGAACTCCCCCTAGATATTAGAATGTCCACCAACAAAATTAGCTTCAAAACCAAGCTACGAAGCTTTTTACAGGAACAAGCAGTCTAGCTTAAACGTTAGTCGTCATCATTATGTATTAGTATGTATATTTATACGTGTATGTATGTGTATGTATAGTTATTTATATGTAAGTAATTATTTATGTATGTGTAATTATATATATGACTGCTTCATATTTATATATGTTCGTCTTTCTGTAATTTCCATGTAAGTTGTGCACCCTACCACTATTTATCCACAACCCTATGGTTGACTGGTAGAGAATGCCTATGGCATTAAGTCCGCCTTTGTATTCTTGTATTAGATATAAATAAATAAAAAAAAAACAAATGCCAAATCATATCATACTCCAGGAAACAGGGGCACATTTTGAACGCTCATAGTGTATCTAGGTTAGGTTCTATCTAGGATTTTAATATCGTTGTGTGGCAAGCGTCCTATTTATTTAAGCCTTTATATTATAACCTTTTTATCCATCACTAATTTTAAAATCAAAACCAGTTTTCATTTTTCTTTTACTCCAACGTCGCAGTATCTACTCTTATCTTATGCTTCTCAATAATAACGTAATATAGGTAATTTGATCGACCAGTATCTCTATGCAATTCATATTCTCAACCCTTACTCTAAAAACCATAACTTTTCCATATACGTGTAAGTAATGAGATTAAAATGGAGACCTTTTAAATATTCATTATGCTTTTAAGAGTTTAATAAGTGAATTTAAATGAGCTTTTAAAAAACTCTTATGGGCTTAAAAACAAGTAAATTACCTACTTTGCATTAATTAGAAGTGAGAAATTAGAAAAGCCGATTTATTTACATTTAAATTTTTGAAAAATGATAATAAGAGAAACTTTCGAGTAACTTACCACTTCTTTTAAATATTTAAATTAATTATAACTAAAGGTTAAATTTTTAGAAGTTTTAATTTCAAATGCAGTAAGTTTCATGTATTTGTCACTTTTTTTTAAATATAAAATGGCATTTTAATATTTAGTGACAGCGATGTATTGTACACCATTGCGTAGCATGTTTCACTGCCTTATAGTAGGGGAGCCCAAACGGGATTTTTTTAATTTACTCGAGCGCGCTAGATTAACACATGGGGGGCCAACCTTGCACCTAGTTAAGTTATCACACAATACCATAGCCCTCTATGTAGGGCCGAACGTCTATGGCAGCAAAAGCAAATTTTCAACCAACGGCCACGAATTTTGGTCGCTTCGAAATTGTCAGTCTTTTGAATAGGAGCTACTGGAGGATTCACGTAATATCCCCTGTCAATGCCTGACGGGCTCGCATTTTTTTATCTATATTCTACCCCTTCGTACGGCCACCCCCAAACCAGGCAAACTGCGGCAGATCAATATTTTTTTGTTTTTGCTGCCCTAAACGTTCGGCCCTACATACAGGGCTCAGGTATGGTGGGATAACTTAATGAGGTGCAAGGTTGCACCTATGTATTAATCTGCCGCGCTCGAGTAAATCCATAAATCCCCGTTGAGGCTCCCCGGTGTAGTTTGACAATGGTAAGTGGGTTTTTACCGCCTCCGAACTTTTTTTTGGCATGCATTATGCAAGACGTCTAGTTTGCAGGATTCAATTACCTATGATTCTACCTTACCTTATTATCAGCAAAAGAAATACGACCTCTGTGGCGGCCTGATATCCTGCCATTTATATAGGTAAAAATGTTACAAATGTCAAAATTTATATTTAAATTCAAAAAGGTATATATAAATGCTCCTCAAAAAAAAAGTAATTAATACTTATAATACTAATAACACCTAAAAGTCACCAATTCTATTTTTTGAAGATCAATGTTCTTTTTTTGATGATCATTTAAATATGTGCCATTCAAAAATAGATTATGTTTTTAGCTATTACAAGCACTCATGAATGTCTAGAAGCTACGCCATCGGTTCGCAGACCTACGGCGAGTAACATTCTATTAAGAAGAATCGGCAAGATACTCAGCTAAACGCTGTTTTTTTTCTCTGTATTATTTTAAACGGAGTCGTCAAGTTGCAAAATTACTTCAATATGAGATAATTCATGAAGTCAGCTTTCATTATACATATCAATGTTTTACGTGGTAGGCTTCCAGGTGCGCATGTGTACATATTTTCCTTGAGACAACGAGCAATTGTTTGTTCCTAGCAACTCACATTTAGTATCGCTGATCTTCAATCCTTTCACGCGACGCTTTACATAAAATATACAACGGATTCAGGATTATTTGATTCACCATACGTATCGACGGTACTCGAATCCAAGCCAGCGTACTTACAATTTCTTTTTTTATTTTATTTTTTTCATTTGGGAAACATACAGTTTTACGCAATTCAATTAAGTAACACTTATTACTTTTTCATAAACCAGTTAAGTTTCCACAGACTGAAAGTCTATTTATTTATTAAAGACATTTTTTCACGGTAGGTTATATAATATTATGTATAATTCAAGCCTGAGAACAAAAATTATGTCTACACCAAAGCGAAGTGAGGGCGGGCTTATGACTTTTAGTCACAAGTTCGCCCAGCAAGCAGATTAAATCTGCCTGCAGACATAATCTGCAGACAGAATTTTCATTTTAAGTTTCTGTTAACGCCGTCTATCCTTGTTAACGAGAGAAGCTGCAATC